ATCATGTAGTTATAATTTTGTACTTGTAAGGTTTTTCAAAAGGTATGAATATGAGATGTTCTGTGCAAAATATGCTACTTTTAAGAACAACTTTAAAATAATATATTGTAATATACTGTAAAAGTGCTGAAATTTTGATGAATTCTTGGCTTTTCAAAGATTTGGGAAGACAAATTGATAAAAAGTCTGAATCGATAGTATAACTTCTACTACAATTTACTCAAAACAAAATTCTAAGGATTTTTGTTTCAATGTCTTTTCTAATTCTATAAAAATTGTGAAAAGAGATTTAGATTTTGATCTTCCTCTTTTTTCCATGCTTCAGTGTTTTAGGTCATTTTTCACTTATTTTCTACCTCTCCTTCCAGCGAAGCCTCACCTTCTTGCTTCTACTACAGCCAAACAGGTTTGGCTGCCTGAAAGGGATGGAGTATCCTCTTAAGTTTTGAAGAGGAGAAATCTGTTTGATGGAGTTTGAGGGATCCAATTCCACACCCCCCGCCCCATTGAGACCGATGGGAGAAGTACCTTTCTGCAGTCAGGATTGTAGAATGTGGGTAAAAAATTGACTAGTTTTTTTTACCTGGTGGAAGTAATTGGGAAGGAGGTTTTAAAGTTTTTTAGAAGGCTAAACAATCTGTGTTTTCCTCTCTTTAGGGAATGTATGAGTTAATTTAAAAGTGAGGAAAAGCACCTCTGTTTAGGGTGGCACATGAAGAGGAAAAATTGTACATACTTCAGTATTATTACTATGTTTTGAAAAGCCTTAGTATTCAAAGTATTAGAAGTAAGTACCAAACTCATTTGATAAATACATATTGAATGCCAACTACGCAGTAGGCACTGTTCTAGACATTTAGTATTCTTCAGTGCACGAAGTAGATCTCTTCAAGGAGCTTATATTCTAGTGAATGTACAGATGTTTTCAGAGTTATTTTATTAGTGTGTGTAATTAAGAATTAATTTGAATTAGTAACAACAGTGATGTCTGCTATATGCAGGATACTATGTACTGCGCAAAATACTGTGATACTATGCAGGATACTGGTTCCTGTCCCATATTAAAGACTATTGATATAGAAACCTAGACACGTTTGGTTATTTTTTTTTTGCAGCTGGCCTATTCAGGGATCCAAATCCTTGGCCGTGGTGTTATCAGCACCATGCTCTAACTAATTGAGCTAACCGGACAGCCCCTCTTTTTTTTTTTTTATTCTGGTAAAATGTATATAACAAGAATTTCCATTTTAAGCATTTTAAAACATACAGTTCCATGGAATTCTTTACATTCACAATACTGTGTAACCACTACCTCTATTTCCAAGACTCTTTTGTCATCCTAAACATAAACTCTGTGCCCATAAAGCAATAACTTCTTATTTCCTCACCCCTCCCCTTTTCCTGGCACCCCCTAATCTACTTCTGTCTCTGAAATTTTTTTCTGTTTAATTTTTTTTTCCTAATTGACTCATGATACTTGTATGTATTTATGGAGGGCACTATGATATATGATACTTGGGTACACTTACACTGCATGCAATGATTATATCAGGGTATTGACCTCAAACATTTTCATCTCTTTGTGCTGGGAACATTCAGCATCCTCATGACTAGCTACTTAAAGTTATACAGTAATTTTTATGTGTGGGTTTTTTTGTTTGGTGGCTGGCCAGAATGGGGACCTGAACCCTTGACCTTGCTGTTACAATACTGTGCTCTAAACAACTGAGCAACCAGCCAGCTCTAGTTACAGTAATTTGTTGTTGGCTGTAGTCTCCCTATATTGCTGTAGAACGCTAGATATTATATTGCTGTAGAACGCTAGATATTATTCTTCCTATCTCTGTGGTTTTGTATTCATTGACCACCCTCTCCCCATACCTCCCCCGCGCCATTCCCCTTACCAGTCTCTGGTAACCACGATTCTATTCTCTACTTTTATGAAATCAGCTTTTTTATTTAGCTTTCACATATGAATGAGAACATGTGGTATTTCTCTTCCTGTGCTTGGCTTATTTGAATTAACATAGTTTTCTCCAGGCTCATCCATGTTGCTGCAGTATTTCAATCTTTTTTTATAGCTGAGTAGTATTTCCTAGTGAATATATGCCACATTTTCTTTATCTAGTCATCTTTTGATGGACATTTAGGTTGGTTCTCTTGGCTATTGTGAATAGAGCCACAATAAACATGGGAGTGCAGATAACCCTTCAACATATGATTTAGAAGGGTAAATAATTGGTGTTTTCCTCTTTCTAGGGAATGTATGAGTTAATTTTAAAGTGGGAGAAGCATCTCTGTAGGGTGGCACATGGAAAAGAAAATTGTACATACTTCAGTATTATGATTATTGTTTTGAAAAGCCTTGGTATTCTAAGTATTAAAAGTAAGTACCAAACTCATTTGACAAATACATATTGAGTGCCAGCTATGTGCCAGGCACTGTTACAATCTCACCCAGTGGTGAGATTGCTAGATCATATGGTAGTTCTATCTGTAGTTCTTGGAGAAACCTCCATAACTGTTTTCTACGATGGCTGTATTAATTTACATTCTTACCAGCTATGTGTAAGTGTTCCCTGTTCTCTGCATCCTTGCCAGGATTTGTTTTTTTGTGTTTTTAAAAATAGCTATTCTAACGGGGGTGAGATGATAAACACTTTCTTAATTGACAACTGGTATAAAGTGGTACTAACAAATTTAAAAACCTCTTAAAAAACTATTTTCATTGAATGTGATAATAAAACCCACAACAATACCATCATTTATTTATTTGGCGGCTGGTTGGTAAGGGGATCCAAACCCTTAACCTTGGAGCCTTGGTGTTACCAGCACCACACTCTAATCAAGTGAGCTAATTGGCCAGCCCACCGTCTACTGTTTATTGACTACTGTGTTTAGGTGCTTACCATTCTCTCACTTAATCTTCAAAACAACCCTGCAAAGTAGGTACCATCTATTTTACAGATAAGAATTAAGAACTTTTGGGAAGGTGACAACAGATTGGTAACATCACTAGTATTCAGCCAAGTCTGTTTCACTGCAAAGCTGATACTCCTTCCATGTCCATGTCTGTTGTATGTAAACATCAGTCCAAACTGCTTGAGGCTCTCTTTCTGTTCCTTAGATTTTAATTAATTTTTATTTATTCATTGGTGGCTGGCTTGTACAGAATTTGAACCCTTGACCTAGGTGTTACAGTACCGTGCTCTAACCAACTGAGCTAAGTGGCCAGCCCAATTTTATATATATATATATATATATTTTTTTTTTTTGTCTTTTTTCCGTGTCCGGCAACGGATCGCAACCCTCAGTGTTGCCCCCGTACCGGACCGGGGACCGGCAACGGGATCGCAAGCCTCGGCATTGCTCCCGCGCCTCGCTCAGCCAGTGAGCGGGAGCCTGTCTGTATGTGGGATCCGAACCCTCGGACGGGAGCGCCACCGGGCCGGCCCTATATATATATTTTTTAAGATGACTGGTAGGGCCGGCCTGTGGCTCACTCGGGAGAGTGCGGTGCTGATAACACCAAGGCCACGGGTTCGGATCCCTTATAGGGATGGCCGGTTTGCTCACTGGGGTGAGCGTGGTGCTGGCAATACCAAGGCGAAGGG